GGAGACAAATAACCAGCGAGTCGGCCGTTCGCATTCATTTCCTAGCGGATTGCGAGTGTGATCGATCGTTTTTTATGAAGTTTTTCAATAGTTCGCTGTAGTGCATTGATATTCGAACACTTACGGCAACACTCCTGCTGCAAACGATAAAAATTTCTTTTGTTCCTCTTTAGATTATTCATATTTATTCGACAAATGGTTATCTCCGGTGCCGAACGAGCTCGACGTTGTCGAGAAAAGAAGTAGGCAGCCAGTCTCAGTGAGATTATCAAGAAGAAAGATTGTTTACGAAAACGAACAGCTCGCGCGCAACTATCGCCAACTGGGCTGAGAGCGTTGCGTATACAACAAAAGATCAACCTGCAACGGTTTCGGGCAAAGGAGAAGAGCCAAACATTGCCGGCAAGATCATCGTCATCATTTGCAAATAAACAGTCGGAAGAGAAAGCAATGAACAGAATTCGAAAGGTGCTTCCTGTTACAGAAGACAAGCAGATTGAAATCGTGCGTCAAATGGCAGAAAATATTGGCATCATTGATACTCCGAAGATTTATCAACGCAACTCGGCTTCCATTCCCCTAGCTTTGAAAGAGAAAGCGAAGAATTTCTATTGTCGTGATGACATCAGTTGCCAAGCGCCGGGGAAGCATGATGCGATCACAGTAAAAGACAACGGAACAATGCTGAAAGTCCAAAAACGCTATCTTCTGCATACACTGAACGAAGTCTATCGACTATTCCTCAACGAGAATACCGACGATCGGATCAGTTGCTCCTCCTTCAAAGAATTGCGACCACCCAATATTCTCTACAAGTCATTGACATCACACAATATATGCGTTTGCTTATACCATGAGAACGTTTTGTTACTCATACAGGCGTTAAATGCTCACATCCATGGTTTTGGCACCATTGGATTTAACACATTTGTGAAGTTACTCGTTTGCGACGACATGAATGAATCGTGTATGTTTACCGAGTGTGATCAGTGTCGTGATCAATTTCGAACCCGGGCCATCGATCATACTGGTACTATGAGAGATTGTGTGAAGTATCTACACGATCGCATTGAGCAGTACCCTATTTCATGTCTTCATCAAATGGCGACAATCTGAATATTTCCAAAACGCTCAAGAAAAGGTCTCCGACAAATACTGCCTACTACGAGTTGACTACTCCGAGAACTTCTCTGTTGTGGAACAAAACGAGATTCAGAGCCCGCACTAGTCGCGAAAATAGCTGTCGATATTCACTGTCCACGTGTGGGCACGATCTGTCACCTATCCAATAGTCCTCATATCAAATGATTCTTCGCACGACAAATGGACAGCGTCGAAATGCATGGAGCTGATCCTTGCACGAATACAAACACTTGCTCCATCGGTAGAAAAGCTGCAAGTGTTTAGTGATGGTGGTGCCAGCCAATTCAAACAGCGATTTCTTATGAAGAACATCGCTCATCTGGCGCAACGCTTCCATTTAAAGCTTTCATGGAATTTTTTTGCAACCAGTCACGACAAAGGTAAGAAATTATGCACAACGCATCCAGAGAAGATGTTCTCAAAGAGACACTGCATGTCAGGTGGAGATGGAGCGATAAGATGCGACTTTTGCGTGAATACTTAGTTCCCACTGATACCATGTAACATACAACTGGAGTTTTCGATGGTATTGGTGGTACTGTCAAGAGGATGGTTTATCAAGACATGTTGGCGGGAAAATGTGTAATAGTGCAAGTAACTTCGTTCATCTCATCAAGGACAAGCAAACAGCCGTGATCATCGACGAGCTGACGATTGAAGATATCCAAGATGCACGAGAAAAACTTCAGAGTTTGTTTGACAATGCCATACCGGTCCTGAACGTTCAGAAGTTTCATTCGACGTCTGTCGCTGGTGTCGACACGTTGACATGAAAAGTATATTCGAATAGCGCAAAGCAGACCACAGTCAACTTCTGATAGTTAGTCTACTCTTTACACGTATGTGCTGTTGCTTACTTGATGGAATAGACTGTTTTGATCTTTGTACTTGAACATGAATAAAATTAAAGTAGCTCAGATATAGTAACTCACTACCACAACCCCGCAACATAGAGCCTTTTATCTCACTAACGTAGAAACTGTCTGCTGAAACTACTCCTAATCCAGGTATGAAAAAGGATGAAATTCCGTAACGATTTGTGTCGTGCAAGTACAAAGAGAAATACTATGCATTTGAGAAAGACCGGTGTTATTTTTAGATAAGTGAAGGAATGCTGTAAAACTTTACCAGCGGAAGTTTCTGTCTGAAAAGCGGTACTTCAGAGAAAGTCATGAATGTTTGGATGGTACTAAAAATCAGGGCTTTTTTTAAAGCTCCGTAACGAGCGACGTTTCTTTTGCTATTATCTCCAAGTAACACATGAAGCCGCGAAACTTTACTCGATAGTAGGTTGGTCGGCTATCTACTAAAACGCAAGCACTCGGAATGCTTGTCGTGTATTCAGAAAAAGTTAGGGATCTTAGAATGCAAAAAAAAACAATTCCGTAACGGCTGGCCGAAACAGAGATGGGCAAATCACGTTTTTTTGGCATAAGTCAAGGTAAGCCTTTCAAGGAATTCCTTGAGTCCAGTCAAGTCAAGTCTCGAGTCAAATGACTTGAAATTTGAAATTCCTAGTTTAATGATTAATAACTTAATAATAGATAGAATTCTTGAAAAATTTTACAACAAGCTTTCGTTGTATTTTAACATCCTTAACATTTCCAATGCCTTTCTTGACATCTTTGCTCATTGTTGTTGAAAAATATATCCACTCTGCGAATATACTCTCTCTACCGAAGAAGAAGTCGCTGGAACTGTTAGAGCTTTCTTTCCTAGTTTGTTTAATATTTTGTATTCAATTGATTTCGTAAAAAAACTATCGGTATCATCGCCGTGTAAATAACTGAGAATCTGATCTTTGAGAAATCCGAAGTTATCGACTTTTTTCTTAGTCGTTTTACATTCAATATAGTGGAAAAGAGTTTTTCGCTTTTTTCCTGAGCTGGACGGTGTTGTTACGATGGCTGATTGTTCTTCATCATCAGCAGCTTGTGTTTCATATGAACATATTAAACCATTATTATGTTCAAGCGTAACGCAATGATCGTATATTAACTTTTTAATTTTTTCACATACTATTGATTTAGTCTCTGAGGGTAAATATGGCTCAGTAATCCAATTTAGTTCGAGCTTGCTATCCAGAAATGGCGAATAAATGAATACTTGGTCGCGATAGAGCTCATAAGAAATTTTCCGTTCGATAGATTTATCCATTGTCACACCTAATTCTTCTAGCAAACCCCCAAATCGCGAAATTAATAAATTTAACAATGTGTTACACAATGAAGAGGTATATGTAATATTTGGTTGTTCATTCATTAAATCAAAACATATAGCTAACACAGCGGGTGCAACGAACGCGATCGATGGTGTATATTCCGCTTGTGTTATTGTCGTTACATCTTCAAATAATGTTAATAAAGCTAAGAGTTTGTTTAACATTTGATAATCTTCTGTGAGTAAACAAAGATCTTTGCGTTTAATCGAAACCAGCATTCGTTTAATTCTGAAGGTGGTATGCGTAAAACTTTTTCAACAGTGTGAAACTGACCGTTCCAGCATGTTTTATTCGTTCTAGGTATCGACATACTGATAGAATCCAGATTTTCTGCAAAAAGTGTACTTGTGTGTGATAGTTTGGCAGTTTTGGGCGCATTAGATAATGCAAATGGAATTGACGAAACTTGCTTTAACCCATCATTAACTACCAGTTGAAGAATGGGCAAAGCAGGGAATACGTAACAATACATTATTCAAGGCAACGTTGTCAAAACTATGTTTGATAGGTCCAAACATATCCGAATAATTTCCATCGGTGGTTGGTGCACAAGGTTTGTCATCATTAACCTCCTGAGGACGGGGTTATTTTAAGAGAGCAAATAAGACTTTAGACACTCTAGTGGATGCAAGAGACAATACATGACATCAGTGAAACATGACATAACGAAAAAACAGAAGTGATGAATATAACTACAAAAAGAAACAAAGTGAAAGAGGTCACAATACGAATGATAGTATAATACATTAGCGATATATATATGTAGCGGCACAGATCATTGAAATATCGTAAAAATTACACACAAATAAATTGTGAGTTGATTTCAATCTGGACGTATATATACGTCACCCGTCCCCAACGGGTTAAATCCATCTAAATCAACGTCACTACACTCTTCGTCATCGTGTTCGGCATCAAATTTTCAAATCCTGGAATAATTAAACTTTCGAATGCCTTGATATTGTTAGAAGCATTGTCTGTAACCAAACGAACCAGTTTTGTTTGCAAGTCAAATGTACTGACAATATTTTCATACGTTTGCAGCAAAAGATTCGTGGTATAACTTCCGTGTAAAGGTAAAAGCATNAAATCAACGTCACTACACTCTTCGTCATCGTGTTCGGCATCAAATTTTCAAATCCTGGAATAATTAAACTTTCGAATGCCTTGATATTGTTAGAAGCATTGTCTGTAACCAAACGAACCAGTTTTGTTTGCAAGTCAAATGTACTGACAATATTTTCATACGTTTGCAGCAAAAGATTCGTGGTATAACTTCCGTGTAAAGGTAAAAGCATAAGACGTAAGATTTTGATATGTTAGAGACGAAAGCGTGACCTAAAAGAAAATTAGATGCTAGTCACCCAATCTAGCCTATCTCAAAATATTTCAACAGCAGAAGGAGGTTGAAATCATACCCGTCATTGCAAAAAACGATCGTAAACGATGATCGGAACAAATATCGAGGGTCAATGAAATAAATTGTGATTGGGAGTAGAACTTTTTGAGTTGATCATTCATTGTATAGTATAAATGTGGGATCGTGCTACGGCTCAATGTTCTTCTGCTTGTCACGGTGAACTTCGGATCTACCGTATTCATAAACGTTAAGAACGAATCTCGTTCAACAAGCGACAATGGTAGGCCACGATTAATTATGAGATTTACAACAATTGATTTTGATAACTCAATTTGTCGAGAATATTGTTTGTCCTCGTAGAAAGATTTGGAAAGTGGTGTTCTCTCCTTTGTTTCGCTCTTTTTAATAAACATATTATATATCTTTTTTTGACTGCTGTTTGAGTTTTCATTTAGTTGAACTAACCATTCTTGATATTGTGTTTCGTGTTGCTTTCTAACATGTCGATTCATATTCGATGTAACGCGTTTACTATCGTGTTGAATTTTCTTACAAATAATGCAGTCGGGTGACCAGGTTGTTTCATGGTTGGTAAAAATCGTACAGAATTTATATATTTCGGATACTTTTCGAGATATTCTCAATTGTTTGTGGTAATGGTTCAATTGGTTGATTCAAGGCTGCACTACGTGTTGATAAAGATTCTAACGAAACAAGTGACGCTCGTCGTGCCGACTCACTTAACACTCGGCTGAGGAGGACAGATATTTTTTTTGTGTTCCACTTGTGAGACAGATTGATCTAACGATTTCATACACGAATACATTATTCAAATGTTTTTGCACAGATATGTTTAGTATCTCTCAAAAACAAAATACTAAATTTTTCCTACTCTTCTTAGAGGGACATATAGAAACCTCAATTTTACACTACCAATGTAATATGCAATAAGAAGAAAGAAACGATGACGCAATACAATAAATACTAGGGCCACTTCAATTGAACAACACTAAAACCATGCACAACATATCAAATGCACTACGAAGCATAAACAAGAGTGAAAAATATAGAACGTCAATCATCAATCTCAGTCTCCTCTACGTCTATATCTCTTTCCAGGCATCATCACCCTCATCTACATATTTCAGCCCATCTACTTCACTACCACGAGACCACTCGTTGTTCCATCCAGAAATCGGCAACTCCACGAACAAGCAACTCTAACTCGCATTTATAAGTCCAACTGGAACAAACACCCAACTACAAAAGAATATTTTTAATATTAATCTAAATTTACTACGAACACCGATAATAATCATCAATCACTTGCAAAATTTCCATAGATTTAATAGGTTTAACTCAATGGATTAAGATTACATTTGACACATGTGAGTTTAGCTAATGTCAGAGCTAGGCCAAGTACAAGTACTTGGTACTTGTGTCTGTATCTGAGAGATGAATAAAACAAGTTTTGGAAGTAAAAATACCACACTTGCTTATTTTAATGTAGTAGCTTGTTTTGTATAATGTTTTATTATATCACTCTTGCAAATATAACAGTGAGAATGAGTAAAGTGAACATGAAAAGTGTTACGCATTGGGATGAACATATGATATTGGGAAATGTTATTTATACAGGAGCGCCTTTTCGGATTCGCGCTAACATCGTCATAGCATATTCTATGTGCATCATCAAAGTGAAACGTTAAGATAATCCTTTTCTCTATCAGACAAGATAAACGGAAACTTTCTTGGATTATATTTTACGAGAATAAAGTGTCAGTGCCACTACTTTTAGTATGTCCTAAGCAGTACATTACTCGACAACTGACGCATATTCGGAAGTGTCACTATTGCTAGTCTTTTCATTCAGAAATCGAAGATACATCATAGTTATAGTTGGTGAAATAAGACGATGAAAATCTTCTTCATAAAGTGGTGGTCCATCAGTCGGGAAAGTTGTGCATGAATAACCGTATTTACGATAAATTGAAGCTTTCAAGTAGCCAGCCGTATTGGCGTATCGTCTAAGAACACGCCAAGGATTTGACAAGTGCATCACTTCGGGATACTTTGATTCGGGAGAATATTTCAGATGTGGATGGTATTTTATCATATTAGCATGTAAGAAAAGAATTTCCCCAAACGGATCATGTTGCACCATTGTATGCCCACACAATTCACTAGATTCGCTGCNTTCACCTATGCGACCTGCTTATAGATATTGACCTTGCCTTTTCTTTGTTATGTTATGCACGATGTTTCGTATATAAGCTGTGTTAGATAAAGGAACGACACGACTATGAGTGTGTAGATGACACAATCCACCATCATGTCGCAAGACATAGACAATCACTCTCATAATTCGTCACAATGGTTGGTAAAATTCGTACAGAATTTACATATTTCGGATACTTTTCGAGATATTCCAATTATTTGTGGTAATGGTTCAATTGGTTGTTCCGAGGCTGCATCACGTGTTGATACAGATTCTAACGAAACAAATGACGCGCGTCGTGCTGACTCACTTAACATTCGACTGAGGAGGACAGATTGATCTAACGATTTCATACACGAATGCATTATTCAAATGTTTTTTGCGCAGATATATTTAGTATCTCTCAAAAACAAAATACTAAATTTTTCCTACTCTTCTTAGAGGGACATATAGAAACCTCAATTTTACACTACCAATGTAATATGCAATAAGAAGAAAGAAACGATGGCGCAATACAATAAATACTAGGGCCATTTCAATGGAACAACACTAAAACCATACACAACATATCAAATGCACTACGGAGCATAAACAAGAGTGAAAAATATAGAACTTCAATCATCAGTCTCAGTCTCCCCTAAGTCCATATCTGTTTCCGGGCATCCTCACCCTCATCTACATATTTCAGCCCATCTACTTCACTACCACGAGACCACTCGTTGTTCCATCCAGAAATCGGCAACTCCACGAACAAGCAGTTCTAACTCCTATTTATAAGTCCAACTGGAACAAACACCCAACTACAAAAGAATATTTTTAATATTAATCTAATTTTACTAGGAACACCGATAATAATCATCAATCACTTGCAGAATTTCCATAGATTTAATCGATTTAACTCAATGGATTAGGACTACATTTGACACATGTGGGCTTAGCTAATGTCAGAGCTAGACCAAGTCAAGTACTGCAAGTAAAAGTATTTTACTTGTGTCTGTATCTGAGAGATGAATAAAACAAACTTTGGAAGTAAAAATACCACACTTGCTTATTTTTATGTAGTAGCTTGTTTTGTATAATGTTTTATTATATCACTTTTGCAAAATATAACAGTGAGAATGAGTAAAGTGAACAAGAAAAGTGTTGCACATTGGGATGAACATATGATATTGGGCAATGTTATTTATACAGGAGCGCCTTTTCGGATTCGCGCTAACATCGTCATAGCATATTCTATGTGCATCATCAAAGTGAAACGTTAAGATAATCCTTTTCTCTATCAGACAATATAAATGGAAGCTTTCTTGGAATATATTTAACGAAAATAAAGTGTCAGTGCAACTACTTTTGGTATGTCCTAAGCAGTACATTACTCGACAACTGACGCATATTCGGAAGTGTCACTATTGCTAGTCTTTTCATTCAAAAATCGAAGATACATCATAGTCACAGTTGGCGAAATAAGACGATGAAAATCTTCTTCATAAAGTGGTGGTCCATCAGTTGGGAAAGTCGTACATGAATAACCATATTTACGATAAATTGAAGCTTTCAAGTAGCCAGCCGTATTGGCGTATCGTCTAAGAACACGCCAAGGGTTTGACAAGTGCATCACTTCGGGATACTTTGATTCAGGAGAATATTTCAGATGTGGATGGTATTTTATCATATTAGCATGTAAGAAAAGAATTTCACCAAACGGATCATGTTGCACCATTGTATGTCCACAAAATTCCCTAGATTCGCTGCTGTTAAAATTTCTGTGATAAAACCCAGCGATGGCAAGATACTTTCGAATGAAATAGAATGGAATGTTTAATACTCTCCAGCTTAAACGAAAAGTATCCTTATCTCCCAAGAGTACTTTCATTACATCCGAGTCTCCATTTAAATGTAAAGACGAATGTAATGCTTTCCAGCTAAGCTTCTTGTTGATTAATAGTTGGCCTGCTTCTTGCTCATAGTCTTCTGCTCGACAAGTTAGATTTAATATCTTCCAGATAGGATTGTTCTGAGAAGACGTCCAGAAGTCCGGCCAGAAAATGGCAGCCGATCTTGTATAATGGGGTAGATCAAACAAATATTCTGGATCACAGACAGGAATATTATCCGCATCTAGCCAAAGAATATGCTCAAAACTTGATTCTATAAGAGCACGCAATTTGATAGCATATCTATTTGTGCTTCGATCTTGAACACTTTCTCTGTTGTTCAGTATGTGTACGGACACCTGGTTAATATTTTGCAATTCGGACAACTGATTCTCATTTAGTTCATTAGGAAATTGAAAAATCTCTATGGGTAACGTACAATTCAGCCACCGAAGTAAACGGAGAGTTGCTAAAAACCGAAAGTAGACGGATTTTCGTGTTGATGTTACGATGCCTCGCCCTCGGAACTTGTTAGACGGATATTGATTGACTGTATGCATAAATGATTTCCACTTCATCCTTATTCGGTTAATTTTCTCTTCGTGAAAAACATCCCACTTTCTTTCGTCTTTTAAACATGGTGTATAGGTTTTCTTTTCTGTAGGCAAGGATAAAAGCTCGTTGTGATTACCACTTTGATCATAATTACCGTCGATCTGTCTTGGTAAACTCTGAGTTTGTATTGCAGTATACCAAATATTGAAAACAGTAAGACAAAATGCACTAGTTAATGTTATTAGCTTTCTTTTTGATAAACCATAGCAGTATGTGAGAATTTTTCTCTTGAATTTCTTCGACATTGCCTTAAATGATTAAATAAAAAATTATAGTAAAGAGTGATTTATCAAGTGACAAATTTCATGATCTATCTAATACATTGCGGGGTGGGGTGTGGGTGTGGGCGAGGGAGCGCCTGCTGGTTTTTCACTCAGAAAAAAATTCGACTTAATATCCTTGGAGAATGTTGAAGATATTCAAAATTATCCAATTATAAGGACTTCCCAAAAACCTTATACACGCCAGAATATGATTTCATAGATCCTTAGCGAAGTAATTCTATTCAATGGAAGAGAGTACTGTTGGCTTTTTATACATTGAAGAAATGTGTTCATATATAATCCATTTTCGTATCTCTCTTCTTGTACTTTCTCAAACCGGATGTCATTGTTTTTCAGCCAAAATTATTCCGTTTANTCCCACTTTCTTTCGTCTGTTAAACATTGTGTATAGGTTTTCTTTTCTGTAGGCAAGGATAAAAGCTCGTCTTGATTACCACTTTGATCAGAATTACTGTCGATCTGTCTTGGTAAACTCTGAGTTTGTATTGCAGTATACCAAATATTGAAAACAGTAAGACAAAATGCACTAGTTAATGTTATTAGCTTTCTTTTTGATAAACCATAGCAGTATGTGAGTATTTTTCTCTTGAATTTCTTCGACATTCCCTTAAATGATTAAATAAAAAAATAATAGTAAAGAATGCTTTATCAAGTGACGAAGTTCATAATCTATCTAATACACTGCGATTTTCAGATATTACAATCCTATAAATACTATCTACATCATCACTCTAAATTATGTTGTCGTACGAAATAATATATTCAATTCGCAAACAATATAAAGCTGCTGACAGATCTCCATACGCTCGAAGCGTTTTCGAACGCACTTTCCTGGCTTCTAAACTCTTGCGAATCATTAGACCTTTTAGAATGCCGATTATGAGAGACCAGATCATTTTCGTAAACTCTTATTTGCTGCCAAAAAATGTAACGAGAATTTTTCGGAATTGTAGAAGTGTTAGGGCAATTGCTTTGGAATTCGGGTAACTATATGAATATCTTTTTAGTTTCGGAAATATTTCATTGAAATTTAGTAAGTTATACAAACTTCTTGAATCTGAAAAAGGAATTTTGCAAAACATAAACTAGTTTTCAAATTTCGGTTTGAAGACTTTGCAGATCGTTTCATACTTTTAAAACAGCGTAGTTTTAACACTGAATTTTTCACTTAGTCACAACTTCATGTATGTGAAAGGGTAGACAGATATTACATACAAATATAAAAGATTAAATAATGGCTACAAGGAATTGAACGTAGTTATGTCTGATTGACAATAGTGGCTAAACTGAAAATCTTCGAAGGGTTCCAACGGTAGTTTTATAAAATAAAGCATAAGCACTCTAAATGACTCAAACTACTTCTAGATGTCAATGTAATCTGACACTTTACTCTAAGTGAGTACTTGAAATCAGAGCAATACATTTAAATTTTACTACCCTTTCGAATGTATTCCGTTTATTTACCGATATATATATATATATATATATATATATATATATATATAAGAGTATCTGGAGGGTTAGGATGCTTAATCATGCTATTGTATACGTAATTTCTATAATATATCTGGATTATACAACTATTTTAACCAGAACATCCTAGGTCTCCTAAAAACTTGTGCATAGCAAATGATCAGTTGCATATGAATAATATGATTAGTAAAAACACGTCATGTATAAACATTGTCATATTCGCTCTCTATACAAAACTGAGACTGAATCACACGCCCTTCAAATTTAAACAACGTATGCAATCTAAAATAAATTCCTTTCGAGTTAATATCAATCAAAAATACCTTCAGATAACGGAACTAGGCTAAGTTTGACAGAGATATATTGATCAGTTTTAGCAACGCCATCCTCATCATCGTCACGCGTTGCAGAAAAAGTGAGTTGAGCAAATGCATCGGTAGGTTATCATTCAATGCATCAAGATAGTATCAAGTAGAAGAAGACTTTTTCTTAATTTCAGATTGGGAGGTAAAAATGTATCCTTTCGTACAGAAGTTGCACAGTTCATTGTGTGCCGTCCTCATTCAATATCCACCGATCGAAGAGTGATATAACTTATCCTGTTTACCTGAAATAAACTTTCTTTTATTGCTGTTCAATGCTTTTATACGACGCGTTAGGTGACGAGTGCGCTGACAATATATCAGCGACCACAAAACACATCATATAACCGATATTATTTATGTGTTCTTTGATGTGTTTCAATACTGTACTAAGCGCCCCACCCTTCAGAAAAGCCTTTTTTTTGGAAAAAGACAAAGTTGATTCTTTTGAGATAAGAAGATGCGCAGGGGTCTCCTCTTTCAGAATATATGTGGTCTTTCTCTAAAACGCCTAGATTTTAAAAACTATTTGAAGAATACTCGTGTTCAACCACCATGATCTTTCAGAAATCTTTTAGGTTCGAAACATAACTAGATAAATCAATATGATATAAACTACGACAGGTCCAGTCGGAAGAAGATCAGCAATTATATATTTAAACTTTTTTTGAAAGATTAAATCGATAAATCAACGAGTTTTTTTGTTGGTTGCTGTATATCGGCGAAAAATTCTCCCAAATTTGTTTACCGGCTTCTCCAAAATCTAGGTTATACTTACGAAAATGGTTATAATTTTCTTCGCGCTCAGACTATAGCATTTCTTCTTGTTTAGTAGGTCTCGACGAGATGAAACTTTTGACCAGACTGTTTTTTATCAAATCAAATCCTAGGCTGAGAAAAGTAGAAAATATTGTCGTCAAACTACCCTTATTTTTGCATGTACTCAGTAAAATAGCTATAAAAAATTAATGATACTGAATTTTTATATTCTATCTGATCAAAAGTTGCATTTTGGGACGGGCTTTAATTTGAGACCAACCCGAGTTGTAACAGTTTTCCTGAACACCAAAAATTACCTTTACATGGGCTGTAAATCTAGTAAACCACAACCGATCGGACTGGAATTTTTACCAGAAGTAAAGCTCACCCACCCTCAGCCCTATATGGTCATCCTAAGTGTGAAATTGTTTCGGAGGAGGGGGGGCTTACTGTACTGGTAATTTCCTAGAGTTATTACATACAAGGCGACCCATAAGTAACACAGTCGAATCATAAAAATTGAATATCTTCAACATTCGCCAAGCAGATTAAACCGACTTTTTTCAGAGGGTAGAGGACAGAGAGTAGTTTCTATTTGTGGAGGAACAGTCCATCCATGGTCATAGAACCGTCAAACGTTTCATTGCTAAATTACTATTTACTTTCATAAGGATCATCATTCAAGAATAGGTCTGTTATTTTAGTTCTTCGCTGAAAACTGGATCTTCTACGAAGTTTAGTGATTATGTCATTTTCCTTTTTATTTTGAAACACATAGAAAATATACTAACACAAACGCATGTGTACATTAACTGTACTGGTTGATAAATAAGCAAAGCAAAACCCTACGATATCAGACAATAGCTAGAAGCGAGAAACGTTTCTGTACACTTTGAGGGTGTGAGTGAGGGAGCGCCTGCTGCTTTTTTACTCAGAAAAAATTCGACTTAATATCCTTGGAGAATGTTGAAGATATTCAAAATTATCTAATTATAAGGACTTCCCGAAATCCTTATATACGCCAGAATATGATCTCATAGATCCTCAGCGAAGTAATTCTATTGAATGGAAGAAAGTACTGTTGGCTTTTTATACATTGAAGAAATGTGTTCATATATAATCCATTTTCGTATCTCTCTTCTTGTACTTTCTCAAACCGGATGTCATTGTTTTTCAGCCAAAATTATTCCGTTTANTATATAATCCATTTTCGTATCTCTCTTCTTGTACTTTCTCAAACCGGATGTCATTGTTTTTCAGCCAAAATGATTTCGTTTATATATATAAAAGCAACATTACTCTCTTTAAGTCAATATGATTACTTCACTGAGGATTTACCAAATCATTTCGTGCTGGATATGAAGCTTCCACATATCTCTTTTAGTCGTAAAATTCAGTTTATTCGCTCCAGTTGTAATCCAGATATTCAATTTTTATGATTTCGCTACATTAATCATGCGCCACATTCTATAATAATAACAAAACAGATTTCACTCAAAAATTTCTCATTACAACATTAATGAAAGAATGATAAAATAGCATGAATAAATAGGGTATCATTTTCACTGTAGACACTATATAAAATAGTCGCATTTAGCTTTCTATAAGGAACCAAAGTAGCAAAGTAGCCTGTCCACTAGTTTTCATATTCCGAAATTAGTTTACTATATTAACGATGTATCATAGGATTATATATAATTTACTAACTGCAGTAAAAACAAACCTTAGACATTGCTAGCATTATTTTGGAAAGCAGCGGTATTAACGACCGAGTTCCATTCCTTTTTTAATATATGGTGCAATGGTTGCTTCGAGAAAAGATTTTTCTAGTCGATATTTTGCGATAAAATGATAACCAATATATGTGCGGTCGACAAGATTGTGCAATATAAATAAAAAAGGTACACTTCTGAACTCGTGGGTAGACGCTCTGAATTATCATGTACAAAAACCTATTTTTTGGAATACGGAACTTAGACAAGTTTCGAAAAAGATGTTTCAGAGCGTGTACTCGTGGTTGGAACCTTTTTTGGCCTCGCAGATTTGGAGAACCGCTTTTCGCAACATGTTGACACATACGGAAGTTCTTTGGCGCTTACGAAATCTTTTCAACAGGTTTAGCAGTGTAACTTTTTTATTTACAGTGCAAACACTCGTTTTTTTCCGCTTAGGATATCGGCTACTTAAAAAAAAGTACATCTACTCACCATTACTAGAATGCAAGCTGAAACGAATGAAACTAAAAGGCACATGTGAAGAAAAAGAATACAGTAGCTGTGAGATAGAGAGCTGTATTTACGTGTGTATCTGTGCATGACTATTTAACTAGTATGTGCGTTAACGACCGATACGTCATATAAATATAATATTTTTCGTTTCTATTCACTTCCTTTCGGCTATTGGTAAGATACCGTATGTATATGATATTGAAACTAGCTAGGTATTGGTATTTATCTAATGAATAAAACTGAACAAGTTCCATTAATAAATTTTTGTGATCGTATTGATAGCAATAAGCTTACCTAAATAAACTATTTCACATCATCTACTAGCGTTCTGTTTAAAACACCAACAGTTCACAATTTGATTATCTTAATACTGCGTTCTAGAAAAGTTATTTTACAGAATCCCAAAAGTTTCATATTTATGCATCAATGATCTGAATACAAATTCAAACAACGAAAACATTTCGTAGTTTCAAACATTTCTTTAAGCTTTTCTCTTACTTTTTTTTCAATAAAAGGGCAAGTTTTTCTCTCGTTAACCTCAACTATACCAACACCTACGAGGCCGTATTAGCTTCATATTCAATACCATACAACACCTGACTTCATGTCCAACCACTGAAACCGATATCGTGAAAGGTTCCATATCCATCACAAATACCATTTTAACCAAAAGAGACTATCATTCCGACGCTCATTTAACATCAGATCGTGGAAAACAGATACACAGGAAATAACAAAGTGAAGCAACAATATTATCTATTCAACTCTAAGATTGAGAATTTGAACTTCATATAAATCAGTACAAGATTTCCTTTATTTTCTAACTTCGCTCTGATCATCTCCAAAATACAAAAGAATGGACACACCATGAGCCCACAGAGAGCAATACTCAATGAAATCCATGCTGCATTCGTATATAGCCCCGTCCTATGCGGAAAACCAAGGCTATTCTTTGCTTCAAGAATTTATCTCTCACACATCTCAAATATCTCTATTCGCAATCGAGCCACCTATTTCCATCTCACCTGTTTCAATCATATCAATCAAAAGAACAAAACATTATAAAGGAAAATTTAATTTTCTCATTGCCAGATGTACGACCATGTACATGTCATGCAGCTGAAGAGGTAAAAGGTTGCATTGCATTTCGAGAATGTTGTATGTAGTTATAGTTATAGTTTGGATTTTGATATGGGTCGTAGTTATATGATATTGGATGGTGAAGTAGGAGAATTGTGGATGAGTAGAAGACGCTGATGAAAAGCTATGCAACTTCACGGTACATACTTTGTAAATTATGTTGGGAAGTGAGTGAAGATTTTCAGTTGTGGGATCGTAGTCTGAGTGAATGGTTGTTGTATGTTAGAGTGGAGATCTAAATAGGATGGAATGGATTCTGTGGTTGCTAGGCATGTGACAACTCAAGCTCAACAGCTCGCGAGAACTGAATCGATGAGCTGGGTAATTATTTCCAGTTCACATGAAATAGAACTGGTCAACGACTCAGCTCACATTTTTAAACTGGTAAATCACATCGGTTTTGGACTAGTTTTCAGTCGCTGATTAACAACTCAAAATGGAGCGAGTTGTTCAAACAGTTCAACTCATTTGAAATGAACTGGTCATCGACTCCAGTTCAAATGAAAAAGAATTGGTTGAACAGTTCCAATTCTACGAGCAGACATGGAGTTGTCATATACCTACTGGTTGCAGGGTGGAAAAGTGGAACAAGAACAATAGGGGGTTTAACATCTTGCTTATTTATATTTTATATAAGAGAATTTTATTTGCTTTTCCGAAGCTCGGTAATAATGGTCCAATGTTTATTTTGTGAAGCAGAATCAGGAAACTATTGTTGCTCGTCGTGTGATCGGATGACGTGTGGTCAAAAGTTTGGTCGACTGCTTCAGTATTTGAAAAATGCACGGGAAGAGAGTTTTATCGGCATGTTCTTCATTCTTTTGTTGAAGGAATTAAGCAGGTAGAGATTCCTTTGAGGTGTTCTGAAATGTGAAAGCTCTCTTGAGAATTTAGATGGATGTGTACAGAATGTGGTTGGATTTTTGTCCAAATGATTCTTTTGGTGAAAAGATTCATGTGGTTGATTTTGTGGCAAAGGAATATCTGGAGAAGGCATCAGTGGACGTTCGTCATCTTGTTCCAGCAGACATTCCTGGTGATGGAAATTGTCTCTATCACTCTGTTCTGCTTCTGATGAATAATTCTGTAATGACGTCAAGCGAGTTACGAGGTGCGGATTCGTTTTAGAAGTGCATTACTTTGTTAAGAGAACTCTTTTTAATTTCTAGTCCACACTATTGTCGAACTCGTTACGAATGAAGCATTTTATTCGCATAGGTTTGCTTATGCGGTTGGTCCTTTGGATATAGCTATTAAAGGTGTGTGTAAAAAGAACACATATTCGGAATTATACGAAGTTGCCGCTCTATGTACCGTGATTAGCTGTAATATACGAAGCCTTTATCCTGAAATAGATTTCAGAGTCGATATGGCTATTATGAATAGTGTCTTTACACCGATTCCACCGATTATTGCAAAGTATGAAATCAAAGTTTTGTGGTCAAATGCCCGCAGTGAAGTCGATATACGAGCAACGAATAATAGTCAATGGAGTCCGAACCATTTTGTTCCTCTTATGTCATCAAATACACGGTATCAAGATATTAGTAGTAGTCAAATAGAATTAACTACTAAAGTGAGTAATAGATTTTGATGTGCAGATTTGATTTATTCTCATGTTCAACTCATCGATTAAGATATAATGGAACAAAATGAAACAGAAAGAGATGCACAGCATCAAATGCAACTTGTCACACTAAGAGATCGTGCTCGTTTGAGACTAGATAGTGAAACAGAGGTTCAACGTCAAGATCGACTAAGAAAAGATCGAGAACGAGTTCAAACTCGACGAGCTAACGTAACACAAGATCTACGTCGTGAGCGACTGGAGCAGATGAAAGAACGTGCTCAAATAGCACAAATGAACGAATCAGAGAAAGAACATCAAATTCGGATCAATCACCAAAGAGAACGAAGTCAATCCAATAGAATCAATAAAAAATTAGAAAAACGGTCGATCGACAATACTATGCTTCATCAACAAGATTTGCATGACCACACATATGGAAATAGTAGCTACATTCGTCCTGTTCGTAGTTCTATGAATGCAATCGGACGTAACGATAGTGTGACAAATAAGAACAAAATACGAGAGTCTTCAACTTGGCCAGCACCAGTATCCATTGAATTGAAAGAAGAATGCTTAAAACAATTTCTTCAACGAACGTCTATGGCCAATCTTGCAGAAGTTACTTGTGCAATTTGTAATATTCGTAGTTCAAAACAGCAATGCTAAATACTTCCAGTTTCAACAATATCTGATAAAGATTTACTCAAAGTATCTGATGAATTAAAAAATTTAATTACCAATATTCAGCTATCGGTTCCAAAACATTCTAATGGAAGTATTCAATAAAAAATTTTGAGTGTCTTTAAAAAGAGAAAAAAGTTTATGAATTCTCAAGACTTTGCTAGAAAACTTTTTCTAATTTTTAGGATCTGCAATTCAAAATTCATTAACTTTCTATTTGGAGAA